ATGAAAGGATACGGTAGGAGATTGGGAGCGGAGAGGTGACATGCATATTCTGTGTCTCGCGTTCAACCAACCCGTCGCCCATGTGCCTGCAGATTCACTTCCGTCTTTGTCTCCATGGAAGTCCAATGTATGGCCAGGGGTTCTGCCTAGCCCTATGGATGGGTTGTGGCAATGGGGTGTGTGGGCGTGAGACGAGGGTTGGGAGCCGTGAGGATATGGGATGCGCTTAGGATGAGGAGGAGTAGGTGAAAGAGAGGCAGAAGTCCGGCATTCAGTAGGCAGGTGATGGAGGAGGCAGTGGCAGCAGACAACACCCCCGCCCGTGACACCATCGCCAAGGATATTATATTTGCAATGATAGAAGGAGCCAACCGCTCAGTACTCGGCCGGCCCATCCACCGGGCTTCACGCTGCTGCCGAGGCGGCAGACAACGTTCAATTCCCGGCAATGCGATCAACCAGACCATCGGCCAAGTCAGCACGAGGGAGGCAGTCGAGCTGACAGCCCATGGCCGTTTCACGCTGACGGACGGCCGACACTTGTCGTCATCACGGTTGGCTGCCCAGGGTCAGATTTGACTGACGTCCTGGTGATGCGTACTATAGGAGTGGTCCATAGAAGTACGATCTTAAACGGCCTGCACATCCACCTACAGGCCCATCCATCTCCCTCTCTGCCTCTCTTTCTCTACTCTTACAATTTTTCATACACCTTCAATTCATTGTCTGTCCACAGCATTCCTTCCCTACAAGCTACAATGCCTCATCTATATTCAACACCCATCCGCCTATAACTCCTCCCCTTCTCTCACTCCTTTGCTCTGCCTCGCTGTCTACTTAAAACTACCTAGTAATATAATAGTGGCAACCATTGTCAACTGGCAGAGATGTTGCTGACTGACAGGCAGACAGGCGGACAGGCTGGCAGATGAAGTCAGGCGACTGAAGAGGACTCTTGCTGCTTCACCTTGCATATCTTCTAGGCTGGAAGACCTTGGCAGCCATGGCTAACAGGAGCTCCAGTACGCAAATGTAGTCATGTTAATGTTCACATATTGTCGCTCTAGCTCCTAAGCGACCATTTTCCTCCTGCTTCTCGACCGGTTTCTCGTCGGATTGTCTAGGAGGGGTGGGAAATTCTAGGCTGCTAGAGTACGAAGAGTCATTCTAACAGTCTGTATGGTAAGTGGAGGGGATGAGGACAAGGGTTTTTGTTCGTTTGGTTGTTTCGGCTGGGAGTTTTACATGTATAATCCATGATCTGCCTGCAGATGACGTGATATCACAGCTTTTGCTTAGATAACCTTGTCGAATCTGCTATTCCGCGTCAAAGGTGGGGAGGGAAAGGTGAAAATAGGACTGTCCATAAAAGAACTGCTTATATATCTCGGATGGTTGCCGAAGTCCACTGGGGTCACAGCTTTGTCTTATAGGGACGACCTGAGACAAACTGGGCCACCCGTAAGATTACATGCCACTCTCCTCCTAGAAATTTTCGTAAGTAAAAGACAGATTGAGTAATGGTAAGGCGAGGGCGGCTATGAGGACACACACATCACCGGATATCACCATTTATCTACACCCCCGGTCGCGGTGGTAATAGGGGTATGATTAATAAGGAGATACTAGCCTCGGAGAGTTACAACTGAGAGCTGATTACTAGTTGGAGACCATGTGGAACAGCCACTGCTTGCACAACATACATACAGTGACATATCATCGGAGCACGATGTACCTGCCACACTGGACACATCTAAACCACCAATGTTCGGTAGTAGAATAACCAAGGCGATCGGGAATACGGCCGCAGAAAATATGTTAACCCTCAACTCATGCTCGACCGAAAATCGCTTCCTTGAAAATAGACTCTTGAATAGTTATCTATTGGGACAATGAGAGCGTAGATTTGGAGGCATCCGCTAACCTTTTGGGACGCAAGCAACCGTTGCCATTTTACGCTCTGAATAATTACACGGAACGGGCCGCGTTTCCTTTTAAACAGGACATCCTTTCTCATCCGCCCTCATAAAACCTCAGCGAAGGATTTCCATTAACTTGTGACGGGTTTCTTCATACGCACGCAAGTCGATAAGTTTAAACTGATAAATTTCCTATGTTCGATTGGCTAATAAGGAGGGAGGCTGTCACCACATGAAGGTTGTGCTTATAAATATAACAGAGAACCCCACACGCGCACTCGTATGGTTGAGGTTCCCCGTGTCGGTTACGTCGTGTTACCGCTCCCAGCTGGTGCCTGCGTCGTAAGTTCCGGTGTAAACAACTGTTGTGTGCCTCTAAACGGGATTTTTGTAAATGCGTTAATTATCCTCCCTAGTAGCAGGTGATACTGACAAGATATTGCGTCGATATCGACAGGCTATAATGGCTCATAAACAGTACCACTTACAGGGATTATCATTACATTGCTTGAATTTTCAAGAAAAACATGAGTGCTGATCAGCATTGTCAGAGTTCATTCGCCAGCTGTAGATATTAATTCGTACGACCGGAAAGTCCCCCTTTAGGAGCATTCGCTTTGAAAGGGAATTTCTCAACTGGGACCTAACATCATTATTCAAGATTGCTCATGTTGGGCAAGCGTTTTTCAATCTAATATAATTTCATGCACTCCCTTTAAAAGTCCAAGTCTTGAATCAATAAGTGCTGACAATAAATCCTAGGCACTCTTCCCTCGCAAACACTTTTTTCGAGAAACATGTATGGTGCAAGACTTAAATACGCGGCGGATACTTTTTTCGAAATCGTTTTTAACCTGTGGTCTAACATCCCTTTGCAAAAGGATAGGACACCTATTGGTGGCGCCGGTTGCTTTATTTGCATGTTCTCGTGGACCACGTCCGGTTTAGTACGGTGCGACTGTGAGTGGGCTGACCGATTAATCTCGTGGCGGACTACAAAGTAGTCCCCATGGACGCTTTTGGACGAATACAGTACTTGAAAACAAGCTGAGAAGGTTCATCCTAGTCTAGTTACCACACCTACCATTTCAGGTGTACAAACTCCATTTATCATCAAGGGTGAAAACGAGGGTGGGAAGAGGGTTATTAGCCTTCAGAATAACAGAGTAGACCACTTTAACCTACTAAGCCTTGGGGTGCCCCACAGTCCAGATTCCCCTAGCCTCGTCACACGAAGATTACTCCAAATTTTCGTTAAAACGTCCATCTCCGCAAAAATGAAAACTGTTTACAAATGGAAGAGGATATTTGCATCCCACACTCTTGCTGAAAATGAGATAGTAGCGCGATCACTGGGACCGTCACAGTGATTGTAAAAGGTGTTACTCTAACACTTACCCCATCACCCCTTTCGGAAGATCATTTGCCTATCGTTGCGGAACTTGGAATTTCACTTGTTCAGACCTGAACTTCGCAAGCCTCTCATCTGTTGTTTTTTTTGCATCATCAGTAAAATGTTCCGTTTGCTGCGAGCTATCTTCGTTTCAAAATAACCCATTTTTAACTCACACATGGTTAGGAATGCAAACTTTGACCTTTCTGTATCCATTAACGGGCAGTTGGGGAAGAGAAGCACAGTGAAGGGCTACTGTTTGTCGCCTTGACAAAAAACAGGTCACTGAAAGTGGAACGGCGTACAATGTGTCCAGCTGGTTTATCATAGTCAAACGACTTCCATTTGCAAGGGTCGGATAGTACATAAACGGCGGAACCCTTTGGAAGGACCTGACAAAAAATGGGCATGGGGCCGGCGAAAGTACCCTTTCTCGCCTGAGTCCGTCACAGTGTCCTATGAAAATTTATATATCAGGTGATGTTACCAAACATTGATGCTAGTGGTTTTCAGCAAGGTCACATCATTGTTGTTTAACGTCATATGCCCTGCCAGGTAAGCATCTTCGCCACCTTTTCCTTAGTGAGTAATTTGCCTGTACGGCTTACAGTTCTCTTATAATTGGATAACTTTTACAACATAATTTAGCCCCTG